TTTTTTTTTTGAATACAGTTATTTTCTTACCAAGTTTTAAAATGTCTCATTTATTTTTAAGGTACAGATTAACCAATTTTTTGTTTTTAAAAACAATGGCTAGGTAGCATAAACTAATAGTTACCACAGAAAGTCAGCAAATTTAGACTTTTTTGTAAAAGATAAATTCTTAACTTTTTGACATCTCTTTTTAAATACTTTGCCATGAAACAACTGATAAATCTGTTTAGTACAAAATGCTATGGTCACTCCTCAACTACATCAATAAAATATTGTAACATTTGTCTTCTTACTTTATCTTCTCTTTTGCTTCAGTAGTTGCTTTTGAAGTTAAACTTTACTTTCCTGCCCCCAACTTTGTTTTGTTGAAATCAAAACAGATGCTTCATAAAGGATTATATAATACACTTTTCCCACAAAATACTGGGTTTTTTTTTTTTTTCCTTCTTTTTTTGAGAGGGAGGCGGCGGGGGGGGGGGGCGGTGGTTAGAGGGAGAGAGAGAATCTTAAGTGTGGAGCCTGACATGGGCTTCATGTTACAGCCCTAGAATCATGACCTGCATCAAAAATCAGGAGTTTGGATATTTAACTGAGCCACTCAGGCGCCCCCATCAAATATTGTTTCTATTAAGGACATTATTTACTGTTGAAACTATCTTCTCTGGAACACCTGTCTCTTGTAGCAGCTTCCAAAAAGGTGGGTTCTGGGACGCCTGGGTGGCTCACCAGCTGAACATCTGCCTTCGGCTCAGGGCATAGTCCTGGGGTTCTGAGATCCAGTCCTGCATTAGGCTCCCTGTGAGGAGCCTGCTTCTCCCTCTGCCTATGTCTCTGCCTCTCTGTGTGTGTCTTTCATGAATGAATAAATAAATCTTAAAAAAAAAAAAAAACAAAACCCAAAAGGTGGGTTATTTCATTATTGAAAAAAGAAACTAGCAAATACTATCACTCTCTTCAGAATACTTAGAATTGCTTCATACCAGAATACTTCAGTTGTGTGATTGTCTGACAGGTGACCATAGAGAATATGTTAGTGTCATTTTGTGTGTTAAGGAAACCTGTATATTCTATTCCATTATATTATACTCAAAATAAATATGTGTATTACAATACAGATTAAATATAAGAACTCCTAATACGGTCTTATATCCCATACATCATCATCACTCATACCTCCTCGGGTACAATCACCGCCATTTTGGAAACCACTGTACAACCTTATTATTGTTAATGAGCCTTTCAGATTAAGTTCTATTTCATAGTGTATAATATTCTTATATGAAGTCATCTTAAAAATAAAGCAGTCAGGGCAAGACATTCTAATTTTTTTTACTAATTGGAAAGTGATATTCGTGGAAGAAAAACAGATGAATTTCAGCAAAGTGAGACCTAAATAAAGTGTATTCTTCACCACAATTGAAATTACTGGCTTTTTTTCAGAAGCTTAAATTTGGATTTTGCATTATGCTTTGGGGAATTATTCAAGGTGAATTATTCAAGGTGAATTAAAGGAACCCATTAAGCATTTAATTTAGTAATTCACTAGTTTTGATAGATATTTTACAATGTCCATAGTAAGCATTTTTCCCCTGACATTTCTAGCAGATACAGAACATTTTCCATGACTCTACCCTTTATCTTTCCCCACTCTCTTTTGACTTCTCTTCATTTTAGAAGCAATTGCAACCACAGGTAAATTTTGCCTTTTCTATAACTGTATTAGTTGATTGTACATAAATACTCCTTTGTCCCTGATTTCTTGTACCCAGCATGATGTTTTCAGATCCACCCATATTACTGCATATATTAATAGTTTGTTTCTTTTTATTCTGGAGTAATACTCAATTTTATAAATACGTGAATATACCATACATTGTTTATCCAGTTTCCTGTTGATGGGTATCTGGGCCATTTCCAGTTTGGGACCATTTTGAAGGACACTTCTATGAATATTTTGTTTAGTTCTTTTTTGTGGATAAGTGTTTCGTTTCTCTTGGATAAAGGAGTCAATTATTAGGTCATAGGTAGATGTTATTTCCTCTTCTAAAAACTTTGTATTGAAGAACAATGTACAGAAAAGTATACTACCACAAGTGTACACTTTTGCAACTTGAATACTCCTGTGTAACCAGTACACAGATGAAAAAAAAATTACTGGTGTGTTAGAACTTCCCCCACCTCTGCTTCCCTGTACCACTGCCTCGCATGGGTAGCCGCAACCATGACCCTCAACTCTATTCTGCTATAGTTTTCTGGTTCCCTTGTTTCGTGAAGGATTTCTCTTTTACTTTATTGAAGTATAATCTCCATATAATAAACTGTATACATTTAGGTATACAATTTTATAAGTTTTCATACACACGTGAAATTGTCACTGCAATCAAGATAGTAAATATGTTTCCCATAATCCCCAAAGTTTCCTTATCCCCTTTGCAAGTTATTTCTCCCTTCACCTCTGACTCTGGATAACCTGTCACTATAGGTTAGTTTGCAATCTCTGTCATCTGGCTTATTTTCAAGCAGAATAATGATTTTTTATATTGTTCCATATTGTTGGTTGCTTGTCTATTCACCTGTTGATAGATACTTGGACTGCTTCCATTTCTGGTTCTTACAAATAAAACTGGTATGACATTTGTGTACAAGTCTCTTCATGGATATATGTTTTTATTTCTCTTGGTTAAATAACTTTGAGGACATGCTGGTTTATATAGGGTAGGTGTATTTTTAATTTTTTTAAGCACAAATTTTTATCATTTTATATATTCAACAGTATTTGATACTGTCTTTCATTTTGGCCATTGTAATGCATATATAGTAGCATCTCATTGTACTTTTAATTTGTATTTCCCTAATTGCTAATAATATCAAGCAATTTTCCAGGCTCATATTAGCCATTTGGGAAGTGACTACAAGTCTTTTGCCCATTTCTTTTTTTTAAAGATTTTATTTATTCATGAGAGAGAGAGAGAATGAGGCAGACACACAGGCAGAGGGAGAAGCAGGCTCCACCCAAGAAGCCCGACATGGGACTCGATCCCGAGACTCTGGGATCGCACCCTGAGCCAAAGGCAGATGCCCAACTGCTGAGCCACTCAGGCATTTCTCTTTTGCCCACTTAAAACATTGGGTTGTCTTTTTTATTATGTAGTTGTAGCAAGTCTTCATATATTCTTAATACAAGTCCCTTATCAGATATATTTGTGAGTATTTTATCTGTGGCTTGCCTGTTTTATTTTTTAAAATATTTTATTTATTTGAGAGAGAGAGAGCACACAAGCTGTGGGGGAGTGGCAGAGGAAGAGACAGAAGTAGACTCCCCGCTGAGCAGGGAGGACTCGATTCCAGGACCCTGGGATCATGAATTAAGCTGAAGGTAGATGGTTAGCCAACTGAGCTATCCAGGTGCCCATCTGTTTACTTTATTTTTTTTAATGGTGCCTTTCAAAGAGCAGTTTTTATATTGGAATTCATCAGTGTTTTTACTTTTATGGCTTACTCTTTTCTGTCCTAATAAATTTTGTCTACACTGAAGTTGCAAAAGGTATCTTATGTTTTCTCCCGGAAGCTTTATAATTTTAGCTTTTCCATTTCAGTCTGTGATCCATTTTGAATTAATTTTTGTTTATGGTGTGATGAAGAAGTCAAGGCTTCTCTGCCCCCACTATGTTTCTTCCAGCATCATTTGTTAAAAAATGCTTTTACTTTGTCAACTGTATCTCAGTAATTCTAGAAAAACAAATCTTTCCTTTCCTCCTTAGCTACTTTGACATCCTGTTGAAAACCATTTGACAATATAAAAACGAGTCCATTTCTGGACTGTTCATTCTTTTACATTGGTATAATTCTCAATTCTTTTGCCGTTATTACATTGTCTTGATTCCTTAGCCTATAGTGAGTCGTAAAGGCAGATGGTTTGCCCCAGGGTCTTTAACCAGATTGTTTTTGGCTGTTCTGGTTCATTTGCTTTTCCATCTAAATTTTGGAATCAGATATTGGCTATAATTACTTAGTGAATACCTAATTCAATATGGGGACAGTTGACATATAACAGTATTGCATCTTCCAGCCCATCAACATAGTGTGTCTGCCTATTTAGGTCTTTAGTTTCTCTCAACAGTATTTTCTGTTTTTCAGTTGTCATGAAATACATATGTGCACATTGCATGCTGCCCTATTTGTGTCATTTCTTACAGCTAAATGATTAATTACACATGCTTATTTTTATGATATAAATTAAAATTTGGTATGGAGATTTTCCATATGATGACCTTATCTGATGCACAGATGAAGGAACCATGTATTTTGTGTGACAGTACCAGAAGTAGAAGAGATTAAACCAGTATCTTTAGAAACATTAAAGTAGAAATATACAGCTATATAGTTACTGGCATAATTCTTTTGGCTTGTATGGTTGTGAATATTAATATTTAAAGAGGCTTATCTTTGTTGACATAGTCCAGTATTTTTAGAATAAGAAGTAAAGCAGAATCTTAACAGTTTAATGGGGGCATAAGTTTTTACCAGAAGATTTTGAATTTGCAGTTTGCCTTCTCTTTTTTCCCCCCTTTCAATAATAATAATAAAATGGGAATATGAAACATTTAAAGATGTAAAAACAAGAAAGTAAAACACAGCCCTACCATCCACAAATGGCCACAGTTTAAATTTTGGTATATTTTCTCATCTTTGTATGTATGTATTTTTATAGCTCATTATTGTATGCACAGTTTGGTTTTGCTTCTTTCATTTAATGTTATATCACTGGCATTTTCCCATGCATTAAATACTTTATGAATAATTTACAACACTTGCATTAATATCCAGAATGGGCATTAAGCAGCACACCCCAGTTTACTCAGTTTTTTCTTGTAGGATATTTAGTTGCCCCCCCCCCCATTTTTTACCCATTTTGTTTTTTGAAAAATATTTGTCTTTAATGCACGTATTTGTTCACCATCTTTGTCCATGTTTTGAATTTCATTTTAAAATTAATTTTTATCACTTCTTAGCCTTTTGGCTAAGATCAAGAGTAGTATCTCTTCTTATCAGTTTAATATCTGGTATGTCCTCTATCCAAGAACGATATATTAAATGGATTTTTGAAGCAGGGTGATGGCATAGGGGCTTGCTCTGTCCACTCCATGGTATTGTAGAACAGTGCACCCCCTCTGCGGAAATACTCTGATATCTAAAGTCAAGCTCGAACAGTAGGGTAATGTATCATTTGGGATTGTGTGCACTGGAATGCTTCTGCCTCCAAGTGTCGAGGTGGGCGACTTGTGCCTTGCCTGGAGAGGGAGATAAATACACACACACACACACACACACACACACACACCCCCGTGGTCTTCCACTCCATGAGGAGCATGAATAGAAGTATAATTATACGAATGGTGGAAATGGTTTAAGTAAATAAATTAAACTAAATAGATTTGTTGTTAATTTTGAAACTTTTTTTTTAACTTTATTTAAGTAATTTCTACACCCACTGTGGGGATTGAACTCACAACCCTGAGATCAAGAACCACACACTCCTACCACTGAGTCAGCCAGGACCCCCTGAAATATTTTAAGTCAAAGTATAAAACATGGTAGACATCTACATACTTATCAACAGTAGTAATCAGTTGTTTCTATTTTGCTTCAAAGAGATAATAACAGCTACAACAGAAATCCTCCCCCAGGTAACAATTTGTGTTGTTCTGCTTCATGTTTTAGTGCATTTAATACATTTGTATCCATAAAATTTTACTTATTGCTCTTCTGTGCTTTTGAATTATATATAAACAAACTATATTTACCTTCTAAAATTTTCAGTTTTTTACTTAGCCGTATCGTTTTACCATATTCATGTTGATTCCTGTAGATCTGGTTCATCGTTTTATCAGACAGCCAGTTTTTCTATTCACCTTTTGAGGGATAGAATGCTGTGGTGAAATTTATCTTACATTTTCTCTGACATTTGTCTCTTAAATACTTGGACAGTTAGAGGTGTCCAAGGATCTTTAGATATGTAATCTCCAAATGGCTTTCCAACATGATGAGGAATAATATATGTCCCTACAGCAGTGTTCCCATTGTTCCACACCCTCCCCAACCTCTGGTTTTATTAGACTTACTATTTTGGCCAACATGATGGTTATGAAATCAATAATAATTTTTTCTTTAGTTCATTTCTAGAAATACAGTTATTAGGATAAGGAGTATTAGGTTGGCAGCATATTCAGTGAAATTTTTCATCCATGGAAATTGTATTCTTTCAGAGGTCTGTTAAAAATTGTCTTCTGGGGGATCCCTGGGTGGCTCAGTGGTTTAGCGCCTGCCTTCGGCCCAGGGCATGATCCTGGAGACCCAGGATTGGGTCCCACATTGGGCTCCCTGCATGGAGCCTGCTTCTCCCTCTGCCTGTGTCTCTGCTTCTCTCTTCCTCTTTCTGTGTATCTCATGAATAAATAAATAAAATCTTTAAAAATAAATTGTCTTTTGATCACTAAACCTTTTAATTTTTGTTAAAGACAATATTTATTTAAATTCAACTAATTAACATGTATATTATTAGTTTCAGAGGTAGAGTTTAGTGATTCATCAGTCTTATATAACACCCAGTGCTCATTACATCACATGCCCTCCTTAATGTCTATCAGCCAGTCACCCCATTCCCGGCCTCCCCTCCATTCCCTTTAGCAATCTTCGTTTGTTTCCTGTGATTCAGTCTCTTATGGTTTGTCTCCCTCTCTGATTTCATCTTTATTTTTCCCTCCTTCCCCCGTGCTCCTCTGTTTTGTTTCTTAAATTCCACATCTGAGTGAAATCATATGATAATTGTCTTTCTCTGATTGACTTATTTCACTTAGCATAAATATACCCTCTGGTTCCATCCATATCATTGCAAGTGGCAAGATTTCGTTCTTTTTGATGGCTAAATAATATTCCATATATATATACATATATATATATACACACACACACCCACATCTTTATCTACTCATCTGTCAGTGGACACCTGGGTTCTTTCCACAGTTTGGCTATTGTGGACATTGTTGCTATAAATATAGCGGTGGAGGTGTCCCTTTGGATCACTACATTTGTATCTTTAGGGTAAATACCTGGTAGTGCAATTGCTGGGTCATAGGATAGCTCTATTTCTAACTTTTACAAACTGAAGCTTTTAAAGAATTTTAAATAACAGTATTGTTTATGTTTATTAACGGTGTGTAAAAGTGTTTTCTATAAAGATATACTAGCTGTGTTAGCTATAATACTGTCTTATAGTGGAGAATTGCCTAAAATACTTTAACTCCTGTGTTATGACATCTGTGTAGATAACTTAGATGATTATTTGCTAATAGAACCTATGAATGATTTTTACTTCTAGTAAGCTTTTTGGGAGAACATATTTAATCTTTTTGTAATCATGTACAATCAGGTAAAAATATATTAGCTATAACAGCTGTTTGATGAATGCTTATGACAAAAGAATAGGAATTATTCTGGAAATGTCAGATGTATCCTTCTTACAAAATTTGTCTTCTTTAACACCTCCCCCTACCATACGCATGCATGTGTGTAAAATGCAAACATCGCAGATTTAAAATATTGTTGCATGTAGGTGTATTAATTTGAAAATAAAAAGTATAAATGGTTAAAACTTCTGTTGAAGATTTTAATAAAATTGCCTGGGGGAGGAGACCATATTTAACCCTTTAAATAGCTAGATTCCCTGTAACTTAGTGCAGTTACTGGATTGTAGGGTAGTTCCATTTTTAGTTTTTAATCCATGCTATTTTCCACAGTGGGTGCACCAGTTTGCAGTCCCACCAGCAGTTGTGTTGACACCCTCACAACACTTGTTTCTTGTTTTTTATTTTAGCCATACTGACAGATGTGAGGTGATATCTCATTGTAGTTTTTCTTTGGTATTTCCCTGATGGTGAGTGGTGTTGATCTTTTCATGTGTATGTTGGCCATCTGGATGTATGTTGTTTTTGGAGAAATGTTTATTCATGTCTTCTGCCCATTTTTTAATTAGGTTGTTTTATGAGTGTCAAATTGTATTCGTTTTTTGTATATTTTGGGTACTAGCCTTTTATGAGAAATGTCCATTTGCAATTCTCCTGTTTCATAGGCTGCCTTTTAGTTTTGTTGATTGTTTCTGTCACTGTGCAGAAACTTTACATTTTGATGAAGTCCCAATAGTTTATTTTTGCTTTTATTTCCCTTGCCTCAGGAGACTTAATCTAGAAAGATGTTACTAGAGCTGATATCAGTAAAATTACTACCTATGCTCTCCTTTCAGGTTTCGGGTTTCTCATTTAGGTCTTTAACCCATTTTGAGTTTATTTTTGTGTATGGTGTAAGAAAGTGGTCCAGTTTCATTCTTTTGCATGTAGCTGTTCAGTTTTCCTAATACCAACTTGTTGAAGAGATGGTCTTTTTCTTGTTGGATATTCCTGCTTTGTAAAAGACTAATTGACCATATCATTATAGGCTTATTTCTGGATTTTCTGTTGTATGCCATTGATCTCTGTGTCTTTCATGTCATTACCATACTGTTTTAATTACTACCGCTTTCTAATATAATTTGAAATCTGGCATTGTATACTTGGAGTTTTTTTCTTTTTCAAGATTATTTTGGCTATTAGGAGTCTTTTGTGATTCCATATAAATTTTAGAATTGTTTGTTCTAGTTCTGTGAAAAATGCTTTTGGTATTTTAATAGGAATTGCATTAAACCTATAAATTGCTTTGGGTAGTAGAGACTTTTTTTTTTTTTTTTAAGATTTATTTATTCATGAGAGACGGGAAAAGAGAGGCAGAGACATAGGCAGAGGGAGAAGCAGGCTTCCCACAGGGAGCCTGATCTGGGACTGCATTCGAGGACCCTGGGATCATGACCTGACCAAAGGCAGGCACTCAACCAGTGACCCACCCAGGTGCCCCAATACAGACATTTTAACATTTGTTCTCCCAACCTATTATCTGGAATGTCTTTTCATTTCTTAGTATTGTCTTGAATTTCTTTTTTCAGTGTTTTATAATTTTCAAAGTGCAGGTCTTTTTCCTCTTTGGTTAAATTTGTTTCTGGATATTTTATCATTTTTGGTGGAGTTGTAATTGGGATGTTTTGTTTCACTTTCTACTGTTTTGTTATTAGTTATAGGAATGCAGCAGATTTCTGTACATTGATTTTGTATCCTGCAACTTTACTGAATTCATTTGTCAATTCTAGTAGTTTTTTTGTTCACTCTAGATTTTTCTATATATATTTTATGTCATCTGCAAATATTAAGAGTTTTACTTCTAAAAAAAAAGAGTTTTACTTCTTACCAATTTGGATGCCTTTTATTTCTTTTTTAAATATATTGTTGGATTCAGTTTACTAATATTTTCTTGAGGATTTTTGCTTTTGTACTCATGAGAGATACTGGCCTGTAGTTCTCTTTTTTGGGGGGTATCCTTATCTGATCAGGGCGGTATCAGGGTTGTATCAGGGTGATTGCCTCATTGAATGAATTTGGAAGTTTTTCTGTTTTATTTTTTGGAATAGTTTGAGAAGTAAAGGTATTAGCTCTTCTAAAATGTTTGCTGGAATTTGCTTGTGAATTATCTGGTCCTAGACTTTTGTTTTTTGGGGAGTTTTTTGATTACTAAATGAATTCTTTTTCTCATAATTGGTCTGTTGAAATTTTCTATTTCTTCCTGCTTTAGTTTTGGTAGGTTATATGTTTCTAGGAATTGATCCATTTCTTCTAAGTTTTGCAATTTATTGGCATATAGACTTTCATAATATTTTCTTACAGTTTGTATAATTGGCATTGATTGTTATTTCTCTTAATGATTTTATTTGGGTCTTTTCTTTCTTTCTTTCTTTCTTTCTTTCTTTCTTTCTTTCTTCTTTCTTTCTTTCTTTTTTTAAGAGTGTGGCTAGAGGCTTATCAATTTTGTTGATCTGTTTAAAGTACCATCTCCTGGTTTCATTGATTTGTTGTTTCTTTAGTTTCTATATCATTTAGTTCTGCTCTAATCTTTATTATTTCCTTCCTTTTGCTGGTTTTGGGTTTTGTTTGTCCTTTTTTCTAACTTTAGGTATAAGGTTAAGTTGCTTGAGATTTTTCTTGCTTTTTGAGGTAGGCCTGTATTGCTATAATCTTCCCCCTTAGAACCACATTTGCTGCATCCCAAAGATTT